TGGTTCCTCCTCTGCTGAAATCAGCTGCTGAGTTCATGGGTGGAATAAACATATGGCAGGACTTTTACTTTCTGACCCCTGGATTTTACACCTCTGCCTGTAACTGAGCCAACTTAAGGACAGCAATGAAAAAATGTTCCAATGTCATTTTATTCAGGACATAAAATATTGGTTCAGTCAGCATCTGATAAGAAACCTGTGAAAGCAAACATTGCTTATTATTTTTTATAAATTTAGGAAGTGTCTATTGACACTAAGTGCAAATAGTGATAGATTCGAATTACTCTGTACAAATAACCGTTTTTTTTCTCTGCAATAAGTGTAAATAGCAGTTAGATGATATTTATACTATGTGCAAATAGTGGCATATCTTGTGGAAATCTGCACCTCAGTATTGTAGTACATTATAAGACAGTATGCTATAATAACATGTGTAAATTATCATTTTTATTAAAATTATTAAATGGATGCTGCTGTATTGGGACAATAAATCCCTCCTTGAACCTACACTCTAAAAAATGATGCACTATATTTACTCAATAAAATTGTTTCAAAATATTACAAGCAATATTATTAATTAAATTTAACCAGAGGTGTAAAATCCACTGACTCTGAGTATAAGTTACCTCTCTTTCAGAAACAGGCTTGACCTACTCTGCGTTCTCGGGTTTGACAAACCTCCCATTTTGAATCGGAAATCCCAGAGTTTCCCTCATTTCAGGGTTAACATACTCAGAGTTTTCACTTAACCTCCTTTCTGAAACGGGCCCCTGGAGGCTAAGTGAGGGCTGCCCGTGCAGGGCTAGTGCTAAGGAGCCAACGTTTTGCCAATGAGCAAATTCTCAGGGGCCCTGCGCTGGCAGCCCATAAAGGGCCAGTGCAGGCTTGTTTGCAGGTACCTCTTCTGATGAGAGATACTAGATCCGTGCAAACAGGTACTGGAACACAGACAGTCAAAAACCGAGAGGTCCCGGATCCTGTTCCGGCAGAATGCTGGATCACGGCAGTCAGCTGATCCTCTAAGAGGACAAACCTTGAACATCGCTATTCTCAGTCCTGAGTCAACCCATCTTTTGTTTAACTGGAGTTTGTTTGATGACACTACATTACTCCAGGATGTGCTTTAGGAGGAAAAAACGCATCAGTGTTTCCCCTTCATTAGTCCATTGTGTTTTTAAGGAAAATATCTGTTCATGTGCAGCATGATTAATTTTAAATAGACATTTTACAAATGTTGTACAAATAGATTTTCCATTTTTTAGATTTCGCTGAAGATCATGTTTTAAACAACATGGAAGCATACTTCCCTGATAGCAAGCAACCCTTGAATCAATGTTAAAAATGGTTGATTTGTCGATGTTAATGGCACCGAATTAATATCACTTTTGCACCCGCAATTAATGTTGAAAAA